GTGTAGGCCTCAGAACATGCTTTGGGAAAATACCCTTTCTACATGACAAGCATATGTAAACAGTAAAAAAACACAGTGACCAGGCAGCTCAATTCTACCCTATGACACATAATCGTCAACTCCAGATAAACACATATAAACACAGTTGTAATGGGCCGGTAGGTCTTCAGCTCCATCTTTGTTTCTCCCTTTGTATTTAATCTGCATTTCATTTTGAAATCTTTCTGTCATCTTTCGAATTTACTCCAAAATGACTACCTCGATCCAACCTACCACCGATGCCAAAAGAGCCCGTCAGAGGCCCAAAGAGAAGTATTATCTATATTCCAATGAATGTGGACTTAACCAAACGATGAGAGGCTGTTGCTGTCAATTAAACCAGCGGATGACTCCACTGAGATCAGATGTTTTATTGAGGCCCATTTATGATCATACACAGATTCATTCCCTATCCTTGCTCCTACTTCTTCCGTCTGCTTGCCACCAGACAAGACAGCAAATAACTAGATATGTCATGTTAATGGAAGAGGGACGTGGGGTGGCTCTTCTACAGAAGCGCCCGGCCAGCACAGACAACCACAGGAAGCTATTTGCTGACAAATGGGATTTGGTGCTTCAGGCTTGAGCTGTATTTATTGGCTGGGTTTTTTATCGGTCGGTAGAGCAGGATATCGTGGCGGTCTTGCCTCTCTGGCAAATTGGATGACGTTGCAAGGGAGCGAAAAAGGCCTTCTGGTCACGCAAAGGTGCCGAGCGCTGTTAACCAGATGGCAGGAGACCAGTGAGGAGGGTGGCAATGGACAGCAGATGGAGAAGGGATCATCCAGGAGACCAGAGGAATGCAGCGTGTACAGCCGACACACTTCTCCCGGCTTACACACATGATCAGTGAGGCTATGTTCCTTGTAGTTCCTCATGTTTAAAGTTGAAGATCAAGAGGAAACGCACAAAAAAACTGATAAGAACTAATATGTGTTATATGTAGGAGCATAGTTCAAGTATTTTAGCATACTCCCAGAACATTTTCCCGAGCACTAAAACTGACAAAAATGAAGTCATCATTGAGTGGTTCAATGTAGTAGTTTGCAATAGCAGTGTGAAGGATAACCAATAGGGGGCAATCTTGCACAATACAGCAGCCAGACAGAACATGTGGCTCTCCAAGTTGAACTCAACCATATACTGCAGAGTCTTCCTCATCTGGTTTCTAAAACCTGTCCAAAACGTGCTTGAGGCCATTTACTGATTAACTGGACCATAAATCCAGTTTGAATATGGTGGAAGTGTGTGTTACTCCTTTTATTCACATGTGTGTTTATCCATACTGCAACTGTCAGTATTCCTTTTTCAGATTCAGGCATGACAATGACATCATGTTGACAGCTATTGTTTTGACTTATATCTGTATTCAAGAATACATGTTAGTGCAATATGTTTATCAAATGAAATCTGCTTTTAATGAGCAAACAATGAGCACAATTACACGGATAATACACGCTCTGATTTGTCTACCTGACAGCATGAAAAATACTTGATGGACATTTTAGATTAACTTGTTAAAACTTACAAAAATGATGGTGAAACAAAGGAACCAAACTCCTTCTGTAAAAAGACACATTTAACAAGATACAAATTGTTTCATCCTGACAGTGTTCATCAGTGTTCAGGTTTTTTGTGATGGTATATGTCACTGCACAATAGAGACTACCTATTATCTATCATTCTGGTATTTGTATTATATGTTTTGCTTACTAGCCTGTAAGACCTCACTAGACTAATTGTTTAGTGCTTATTGTATCTGAAAAAATGTATTAATGACAGACGTTCACCCTCAAACAACAACAACCATGAGGCAATAGAAAAAAAGACCTCCTTTTCTCAAGAAGTGCACAATTTCATGTAAAACGGTGTAACGTGGAGGAAAATGTGACTCTATGGGGGTCTCTGGGTGAAGAAGAAAAAAGCCATCCTGAGAGCTGCTGCAGAGGCAGGATGACTGAGAGTGTAGGTGGGGATGTGGGGGCTCTGAAAACCACAGTAGGTAGGTAAGAGTGACAGGTTCTCTTTGTATGGACCTGACATCCTGTCTTTCAACATGCACACAGACCCAGGCACACTCCAGAACAGCTTCCTGTCAAGGACTGGCTGCATGTGAGTATTACAGAGGTAAGGAGCAGCATTAGAAAGCAAGATGGCCTGGGATAACTGAAGGACAGGGTGATGGTCAATTATGGCATAAGGGAGCCATGAGCTGAGAACACAATTGGAATACTTAATACATAAATAATACATAAAATATAGAAATACATAAAGTATCTGTTTATTTAATTTTCCCTTTAACTGGACGTCATTTCAGAAGCTGAAGAATTAAACAAATCACAAATCAAGCTTTCTCCAATATTAATAAAGAAAGCCTGACAACCCAAATATATAGAAATACATGTTTAAAACCTCTATTACATCAGACGAGTGCATAATGCATATCAATAACTATTTACTAATAATTTGTACTTTCACAAGTGATCTATTTGTTTATTAATAATTCGTGCTGCTCTGCCTCTCGGTGTGTCGGCCATTACAGGCTTGGCAGCTGCGCCGAGCGGCAGCACTGATCCTCCGCTGGTGGGGGTCGGGTTATCTCAGAGAATGATGGCGGCTGCAGGGGGACTCGGGGCAGGGCCAAGGGGCAAGGCACTAACCCACTACAGAGAATACAATACTCCTCTGGCACTCACTGGTGTAGCCGTAGGGGGGGAAAGCTGCATTCGAGGCCACATGTAATAGTTTGGGAACGCTGGACGGCATTAAATTAATCTCTGTTCCTATGTCATATTTAACTGTAATATTATTAGACAAAATAAAAGCACAAAAGACACCACAGTGAATGTACAAATGCATTAATACAAATAATACAATCAAATGTGTACGGAGAATAACAAAACAGTAAAGTAAATCTGAGTACCGTCTTGATTTATGCAACTTTAAACTTTAAACTAAATACAAAAAAAACTCACTTTTACAGGAAGTTGGTATTTCATGGGGACATATTTGTAAGAAAATGCATTTCGACTCTCTATATTGTTGATAAATTTGAATTAATTGTAGTGCAGTATTGATTGTAGCATTTAAAGAGCAGTCTTAATTATACTTAAATGTGAATTAATGGCCTCTTTCCAAGGACAAAAACAAAATGAACATAATAAAACAACGTTATACATTTTTTGTGAAAAGAATACGTTGGAAAATGTCCACGACTATCATGTAAAAGTGTGGGGTTAATGTTTCTTCTAATCCGTCGCAGTGTTTTGACAGTGAAGACGTGAGGCCCGCGTGATATGAAACCTAACGAAAAAACCACAAGCGTGTCGGCTGCTGAACATTCTGCAGCTCTTAAGAAAACGACAATCAGGCTGCACGAGCTCCTGAAACATGGATTATCCGAAGCCTCTATATTTGTTGTCTCTCATGTAACGAACGGAAATAATCATTATTAATGATAATGCTTTAAATACCCATATAAAGAGATCAGCAACTCCATTCATGCGTTGCTGTAATTAAATAATTGTATTGTTTTTCGACTGGTGGGGTGATTTATTTTTATCTTTAATATTGAATATTTCTAAGAGCACGAATGGCGAGGTGAGGTTTCATCAAAGCGTGTTTTAGCGATCTTGCCTGAAAACATGAAGATGTACTGACAGTCAGAGCTTCAGTGAAGCCGCAAACTGCGTAGAGTTTAGCGGTACTTCCAATAGGCGGCGCTGCAGACCAGGTCTGAGCAGTGGAGGCCAGCGCTGCAGCAACGGTCCTGCTGTGAACATGGCAAAACGACACATTACTTTTCAAACTGGACTTCTGCATATTACTTACGTCTTAATATTATTTTTAAAAATGATAGAGAGAAAGGTTTAAAAACAAGATTCAATTATTCAACATTGATTCTGCATTTTGACGTTTCACTAAATCTAGTACACTTTTCTATACTTGACTTAAACTCGTAAAAAGATTTATTTAAATTTTCGGTGAATTTTCTGGTGGTTTTCATAGAAAACAAAAAAACCTGTGTAGCGTGCTGGTGATGCATTTGCGTGTGTGTGTGTGTGTGTGTGTGTGTGTGTGTGTTCGTGCGTGCGTGCGTGTGCATATGAGTGGATCCATGAGGGATCATCATTATTATTATCATTATTATTATTTTGCATATGGCCAGACCAAGGCCACCAACCATTTGATTAAAGGGCAGCATGATTAACATGACATACTATCTTCAATATGTTGTTATTTAAATTATCGAAATATATGAAATATGAAAGAATGACAGAACTGTTATTACTGCGTTTGGACAAAGGAGAGTTGTGTTTCAGGCCAATCCTATATATAGTCCCGCAACATATTACAGAATATTTCAATGCACACAATACATCAAATATTTAAAAAAAAAACGTTATGTAATTTTAATGGAGAACATAAATGAATAATTGTGTAGCAAGAATCCTTTTTAAATGAGTGCCGTTCACGTGACAAAATAAAGAATGTATAAAATGTATAAAAGAAGAAAAAACACAAGTGACCATGACTGCTTCGCGCTGTTGCGGATCTTGGGGTCAATGTACAGTGTGATGAATATTTTAACCTCATCACAAAGAAATAAAACGACTTCATGTGGTGGCTCTTTGGTGGCACTGTATTCCCGCAAATTAAGTGTGTAGTTTTAATAAATGGAAAAACATTGTAAACGGCATCCAGACACATTTCAGAGTTAGAAGAGGGGGTGAAAGAGGGATGACCATCTCCAAAAGACGGTCTCAGCCTTGACTGAAAGGTCTGTGAGAGGTGTCAGAGGAGGCAGGTTGAACAAAACACACTTCTCTACAATGGTCTTCAGACATAGTTGCTATCCAAACACAAATAAACAGAGGAGGAACATCGGAGTTAATGATAGAGGGGGGTGGAGGCGTGTCGGAGGGCGGGCTAAACACACCAGAGCCCCGGAGCCCTGAAAAGTGCAGGACCGGTGCGCATTACACACACTTCCAGCCCCAGCTCCGGACAGAGACACCCGCGCTGCCGCTGCTGCTGCCGCCAGCAAACTCCTCCAAACTTCTTCGCCCCCTTTTTGTCCCACAACTTCTCCCGACTCATCAGATCTGCGCTAAGGTCCGAGACTTCCCGGCTGTCTGCATGGCTACGTGAAAGTTTCATGGACTTGGAACTTGGAAAACCTTTCGCGGCGTTCTATTGGAGCTCTCCGCCACTATAGTTACTGTGGATTACTGACATAACGTGAGGACCTTTGGCAGAGTTTTGTTGGGGTAAGATTCCGTCTGTCCGGGTATTTTGTCAGCCCGATGTAGGGAACCGACACCACTCTGCTCAACTCAGCTCACTTGTTAGAAACTTTTCATCCAAAGGAAACTTACTGTTGCATGAACCAAATAGATCCGACAGTCGGTAAAATGTCCAAGACTGACTGATACTCAGTTATTAGAGACGATTGTTGGTTTGCGATGATCAACACCTTGGGGTGACAGCTCTCTATCCCAATGGGCCAAACATTGCCGAAACAAGTCTCTAGACTTTGGTTATGTTTACTTTGATGAAAGCAAAAAAAAAACTTGACAAGCACTCCGATAACACGACATGGCATTTATGCTGCTGTCAGAGTATAACATTAAGTCCAAAGGTTATTGAGAGGAAGAACAGGTCGGATAAAGTTACACACGTGGGCAAAGAACAACAAGTGGCTGCGCGGTGACTGGTGTTGCACCTGTGCAAACTTCAATTAAAACTGCCCCGTCTTTGAAAAGAGGAAAGCGAGGTGGAAAGAACTTCATAAGATGTGTGTAACAACTCTAAGCGACCTGACCCGAACATGCGATCAGCCCTCCGGCTGCCGTGTCCCGCAGGACTCTCCCATCTGCAAGACAATCATGTCCAAACCTCCCGCAGGTCTCAGACTCGGGAACGTGACGATTAGATTCGGGTGGAAAACATGTAGAACAAATGATCCAAACAGAATACGCAGGGTTTTATTTAATTTCGACCAAATCTAAAGGTCAGCGTGGGGCCTCGACTTACACGGTTTTCCTTTTCCCCTGTGTTGGAAAAGACAACTTGTCACCGCCGCATACATGGAACCGGGCCACCGTGGCTGTTGTTCTTTCGTAATGCACACTTCACCTTATTTGTCCGACATGTGGAGGAGACGCTTAGCTCCGCCGCCACAGGTCCACCATGAGCAGAATCACCTTAATTCAAAAACATGCCGTATGAAATCAAATAGTCCTAAAACGAGCTACATATCAGGCCTGCCAGATGAACTGGCTGCAGTCCCGCGAGCACGCAAATAAAAAGCACATGCACACAAAGTCACAATTAAAGTAGCATTCTTGTGGGTAATATTAGGCAGGATTTGTTTCGCGTTTCGCTCTAACCTGAGCGCGCATTTGACATCCTCTTGGAACATTTAAAATTCCTACAAATCCAGAGGTCACTTGTATTTCAGCGGTGTGAAACAACAGCTACAACCGTCAAAAACAACAACTTGTCTTCTCTAATTGCTTCGCCCGAACTTCATTCGGAGCGATCGGTGCCGAATCAAACATTCGCACCCACCTTTTTGAATTACAATTTTGATAGATTTTGTTTTTAAAAAGATGTAGCCCATAAATATAATATTGCTCATCTCTGCTTTTAAGCGTTTCTATTTACGCTCATGCGTTAGATACGTGTTTATATTCTCGCTGTGGTTCTACTTGTGTCGAACACGAAAAAAAAGTTGTTATGAAATTTAAATAATTGGAGGTCGTTAAATAAATATTAGAAATAAATTTGATCATGTATGTTAAGAAGAAAAATGGGTAAGAATAATGCATTTTTGTATTTAGTCTACCGTTTGTTTTATAGTAATATCATTGTAACGGGACATTAACGCTCAACACATTTTTCTCCCCCAGGGCTATCACCGTGTCTTCTGCAGAGGTCTGAGCCGAGATGGGGAGCAAAGCCCTGCACGCTCCGATCCCCCTGCACCCGGCCCTGCAGCTCACAAACTACTCTTTCCTGCAGGCCGTCAACACTTTCCCCGCTGACCAGCTGCAGGGCCTTTACGGCCTCAGTGCCGTGCAGACCATGCACATGAACCACTGGACTCTTGGTTACCCGCACATCCAAGGACTGAGGTCTACGATCACGGAGATGGCAGCCGCCCAGGGTCTGGTGGACCCAAGGATTCCCTTCCCGGCGTTGCCGTTCACGGCCGCAGCGCAGCTCTTCCATCCAAAGCAAGCCGGCGTAGCGCACGGCATCCCCTCGCTGCACAAGAACAGGCCGAGGTTTGACTTCGCCAACCTGGCCCTCGCTGCCACTCAGGAGGACCCTCCGAAAGCTTCAGATCTGGTGAAGTTGGCGTCGGGGCTAGGGGGGACCCTCTCCGAGCTGAGCAAGCTGTCCCCGGATAGAAAGCCCACCCGGGGCAGGCTCCCTTCCAAGACTAAAAAGGAATTTATTTGCAAGTTCTGCGGGAGGCATTTCACCAAATCCTACAACCTCCTCATCCACGAGAGGACCCACACGGACGAGCGGCCTTATACCTGTGATATCTGCCACAAGGCCTTTAGAAGGCAAGACCATCTCAGAGACCACAGGTAGGACTGAAAAAGAGCTAAATCCCCAGCAGCAGCTAATTCCTGACAATGCACGTGATTCAAACCACACGTCTAAATAACACTTTGCTTACTTGCAATTAAAAACGTTGGTGTATATATACATTTATAAAACATGTGGGCTGTTCCCGAAGTGTTATCCACGAGGGCGCTAAAGTCCTTTTACCAATACAGTTTGCGCAGCAAAGCACTATATTACGGTGGGGTTTGTTGTGAGTCCACGCAAGAGCTGTTTTTTGATGAAGCGACATTTTTGTTTTGCAGATACATCCACTCCAAGGAAAAACCATTCAAATGTCAAGAATGTGGGAAGGGATTCTGTCAGTCTCGAACTCTAGCCGTCCATAAAACCTTACACATGCAGGTAAGCTGGCCATATTAACAAGTCATCCTTAATTATGTGATGTGCTCGTCATTCACCCGTAATGCTCTGTCTTGTCTGCTGCATGAATGGGATGCTGACAGTCTCGCACAACAATTGTGTTTGGCCAAATCCAAATTAAAATGCAAGACACAATTAATGTGATGATTTGAGTTACAACTGACGCAATTTATAGTGGATTTATTGAGATGAATGAAAGCTACAATTTCTAGACGTTCTATCCAATTAAAGGGAATAATCCTTTGCTTGCTTTAAATCTAAACAGGAGTCCCCCCACAAATGCCCCACATGCGGAAGAACCTTTAATCAAAGAAGTAACCTGAAAACTCACCTTCTCACCCATACAGACATCAAGCCCTACAGCTGTGGCCGCTGCGGAAAGGTGTTTCGGCGCAACTGTGACTTGCGACGGCACAGTTTGACGCACAGCCCACATCAGGACTACTAGCCTGGACAGACTAATACAAAACAAAACAATGGACAATTCAAAAAGAAAACAAGCCACAGGAAGACAAGCGACAGTTTTGGTTCTAAAGACATTCTCCAAATGAGGACATGTTTACTGCCGCACACTTCACTGCGGGGATTTGGTTGCATCTCCAGTGGGACACGCAGCGGAGCCATGGCAATGTCCGGCTTTCATACCACCTGTAAATATCAAGACCATGTACATACTGTTTTTTTTTCTGACATTGCGATGATAAACGTGTAAAAACAGTCATAAGTTTAAAGTATGTTAAATTGTATTTTAGAAATAAATATTTCCATGATATATGTCTGCATGCTCTTGTCTTTATTTTATGACGCTATCACGAAGCTAAACGACTCCATGTGTTTACGTGAGGTACAGCCTCCGTGAGGTACACTTGTTTTTCAGTAGACCAGATGTCAGTTAGCAGCCAGGGATGCCTTTAAGGGCAAACCTTGCAGACAAGAAAATCATCAAATTGCAGAGGCAGTCAGCTGCGATCGTCGATTATGTATATTACACAAAGAGTTGTTTTTTCAAACAATAAAATGATAATCCTAATGATTATAAAACAGACTTGTATTTTAAGTCCCAGGATTATCGAGCTCCGGTATTATCTTCAATATTCACAGGACTGATTAGTGTTATATTAGCCACTCCAAGCAGCCACATCACACGTCTTTATCTTCATTTCCTCTGATAACACCATTGAGGTGCAAATCTAAGTTAGCAACCAAAGTGAGCGATCTAAATCAGAGACGTGAGACGTGGAATGGGTTTGGTTTGTGTTTGTGTGTGCGTGTGTGTGTGTGTACATGTGCGTCTGCGTGATTCATCGCTTAAAAACATTTGTTTTTTAAGGAATACGGATTTGATTGTTTTGAGACCACATGTCAGACCTTCCCTCGACCAGTTCTATTAAACCAAATATTTTATGGACAACAACATGAATGCAACGTTATTTAAGCGTGGGCCTATGTGATTTGTAGTTGCTTACTGTTGAACTGTATGTATTTAATCCTAATTATTATTACTTTAAAAAATGTATTAAGAAGCAGGTCGGAGGGAAAGTAGTGGATGCGATGCTTAAACATTCACTTGTATATTTGTATAGATGTATTTGCCAGATATGGGATTTCATCCAATCCACCTTTGATCCTCGTATGATCAGATACGAAATGCGCTTCATTATTAACCATTAGAGCCAACCAACTAATATATATATATATATATATATATATATATATATATATATATATATATATTTTATTTTTTTATTTTCACAGTGTGGGTTATCTGTGTGGGTATGTATGAAATATGGTGAAAACGGTGTCCACGTGACTTTCTCGTGCGAGTCGGCGGCCTTCTGGCCTGTTGTTTCATGATTTCCCTCGTCATTGTTGGCTACCGAGGACGCGTTTAAAGGACCTGGTTTCACCTGGCAGTGGGATTAATTGTTTGAAAAACGTACAACAACTACATTTGTATTTAATGGGTCTGGAACAAGTGGTTTTTGAGTAACAACAGAGAGTTGAAACGGTGCCCAGAGCTGCTGAAAGGACATTTACTATAAGACACACTTCATCACGCACGACAGGCTTCTAATAATGATTTCCTAAATGCAAAGGCAACAACGTGCACCGTCTTCATTAACAAAAAACCCTCCCGGGAAATAAATCACGCCAAATCACCGCAAAAAAGATCAAAACGACTCAAATATGAAAAGATGGATGCAATAATAAAACAGGAAATAATAAACGTGATAATAATAACAACAACAAACCATTGGGGGGTCATTTAACATGTTTGAGATATTTCCTATTGTTGAATTCAAAAGTGTGTAATCTTGGGGTTAAATAATGTGATTATATTTTTGATTTACATTTAAAGCGATTCCGATGACGCCTAAACACATCACATCGACACAGATGCAATTTCAGTGTGTAGTGACAATATTTAATTGAAGAAAATTAATAACATTTTTCAAGGAAACTCAATGGTAGCCCATTTTTTTAACAAGTCAGATGCTTTTCATAAATTCGTTTTCATTTCCTTTCCTCGGGACAATGGCGGATACAAAACCGAATACACAGCTAACGGATCAAACTGAAAACGTGTCTTTTGATGTGGTCACGAGACTCATAACAACAGGCGAGCATACCACGCCCTCGTTTTATTGAACCAATTCGATCAAGCATGCCGTTCGTCATGGTGATCTAATCGGAGGATCAAGGAACTGAATTAAACTTCGATTGGCCCTATTACATGATATCAAGTATACGTTCGCTCTCATCAGGCTGAATGAATGACTTCAGAACGCTGACAATACATGCTGACACGCGGTGGAAATGCCGTGGACTGTGTACCAGGGGAGAGGCTGCACCGACGGGCCTTCGGGCCCCGCTGCTCTCACTGCACAGCGTCAGCATACGTGGCCCTCCTCCAGGAAAGAGAGGCTACTCAAATCGTTCACTTGAGTAGACGTGGCCACACAGCATAATCAATGGTACAGTGGTATTAGCAGTGAAACATTCTTACTGTATCAAAAGAAAGGACCCATTATACAGACGAATATCTGCATTAAAGTTAGTGATAGTTAGTAGTACCATAATCCATAATATTGTATCATGTTTAATTATTTTGGTGTTGTGATGTATATTTTGTGTTATAAACATATATCTGAACAGTACCAAGTAAAGACTGCCAAAGTAGTTTAGTGTAAAAAGTGAGTACAATATTTGCCACACAAATGTAAGAGATGAAGTAACATATAAATACAAACAAAAACAAACAGAACCAAATTAAGCAGTTGACTGCTGAAATTCAATGTATGTACGCGTTTGATAGTGGAGAGAAGATAAGCCAAATATGTTTTCCAAAACCAGTTTTGTATACACGCCAAGTTCAATCGCGGGGCTGAAACAAAAATACTCCAAATAAAGTTTAGTTTAGATTTTGTTTGATTACTTCAAATAATTTTACATGACTTTTAATTACAGTAATATTTATTTATGACTCCAGTCTGTGCATTTCAGTGAGGTTTCAGTTGTATGTTGGCATTATAAAGACTGCAACATGGACTCTTTCAGATTACAGGTAATTTAGCTGACGCTTTTATCCAAAGCGACTTACATTACATTTGTACATTTTTGCCCAGGGAGCAATCAGGGGTTAGGTGTCTTTCTCAGGGACTCTTCGACTTGAGACATGGGCTCGAACCACCAACCTAGAGGTTCCCAGCGCACTCGCTCTACCCCAAATTAGATGCATGTTCATAAAATTGAACCGATGTAGTTGTAGGGCTTTATTGTCGATCGTTGTAAGGGAAAGCGTCCTTCATATTGAGGCTATTCAGGTACCGATTATTTTAACCTCTACTCCCTCAGCAAAGGTGTGCTTCAAATTAAGGGCCATGTAAGGGTAAGGGGCGGGACAAATGAATGACCAAATGACTTGCAATGATGCCTTTCCTTGATCCTCGTAAATCCGCAATAGCGTTTGAAATAGAATAGGAGTAACTGTGACACATCAGTTATGTGCTGATTATCGGGTTTTAACCAAATGGTGATACAGTAAACGATTTAGGAAGTGACAAAGTGCATCAAGGATTTGCGTGATGTTTTCATTGAATTCGTTTTACTGTCATTTCCTCCACAGTCAGTGCTCTAAATATCAAATTTCATCCAGCGACATATCACAGCAAATAACAATGTCGTTTTATCACAAAATGTATTTAAGGGGTTGTAGAAATAAACAGTATTTAAGAAATTACGAACGCGAAAGGCAAACTTCCCATAACCATAAAGGGGACGCCAGTCGTACGGAAGCCGGGTGGGTGTTTACAGATGACGTTTGGGCTGAAACCCTTGTGCGATGTACCTAACGTTAGTTACCAAAATAATATGTCGTATTAATAGTTAGAATTCAAGAAATAGCTTCTGGATATAGGCGGGAGTCAAGTAAGTAGAGTGTTCTACACGTGTACCCACGAGCACACGTTCCAGCCAGCCAAACGAAGTTAGCGTGACTTCTTCTCAGCAGCTAGCTTAACGGTAGCTCGTTCGCTGTGGTCCTGTGGTGTGTGACAGGAGAGCATAGCTAACGTTAGCCTCTCAGGCTAACCACTTCGCATTAAGTTAACGCTACATGTCCTACTACGCCGTCGTTTTATTTAAAACAGCACGTTATGTTCAGTTAACGTTATGTTGTTATTCCTTTGGAAATGGAGTCCCCGTCAACTAATGCCATCTCACCTTGTCGCGTGCTCAAAAGGTGTCGTTAGCACGGCTTATTTGGGCTCTCGTTTAAATTAACATGAAGCCACTTTGAGAAGAAACACAGACATTTGTAGAATAAAAAAGTTCGTAAATCCTCGACCTGCAACTTACGCGAGCAGAATACGTATTGTCTCTGTTGTGTGTGGCGTTAGATGTGAGCCAACTGTACTAACGTTACACAGTTCAGCCATATAACTTGTAATGTTATAATATGGCTCTTGCACATGCACTATTTAAATAGTGCACATGCACTATTTACGACCCTTCCACAATAGGATACGCCAGTAAGAAAGTAGCTTTGCTTGTGTGTCACCCATCAGAAGAAAATGTAACATCAAAACCAAAGCTTAATAGATTTAAAAAATACATACGAAATATGTTGCAAAACCACAAATGTTAAAGAAAAACAAGCCTAAACAAGTGGGAGTGGAAGCTGCATTTTCAGGGTCTCTGCAGCTCTGTATTTGGCATCTTGATCCTGGACCAAAGAGCAACAACAACAACAACACTTTTTCTGATATATATATTTTGACTTGTCATAGCAGGGAAAGCACAAGTGAAGTTTAATGTCATGAATGATGGCTCCGTTCCATTTAAGCCTTGCCATGGAGCCGACGTACCCAATACTGATGTGTCTGTGCTTTTGAATGCAGTACCAGTGTTATTAGCTTCACATGTGCTCTGGTTCTATGAGGTATGCACAAATTAGCTGTTAAAATAACCGTCTCCCTGGTCTTCAGAAGCAATTAAAATAAAATCGAAAGAGAATATTACATTACATTACATTACAGAATAGTGGGATATAAGGATGAAAGGACATTTTATACATGAATACTGTCATTGACAAATATGGTAAAGCGTTGAATGAAATAACACTGTCCTTTTCCATGTTCTTCAGGACTTCAAGATGTTGGAGTCCTATGTCACACCGCTCCTGATGAGCTATGTGAACAAGTACATTAAAAATCTGAAGCCATCTGACCTGCAGCTGTCTCTCTGGGGAGGAGATGTGGTGCTCAGCAAGTTGGACCTGAAGCTGGATGTGTTGGAACAGGTACTGCTTAATGGATGTGCTCTCTGCTCCGCTACTCAAAGACGAGACAATAACACATTGAACTTTCTCATGTAATGGGTTAGGGTTGATTATTTTGTTTTTAGGAATGCTATACAGTTCTTAGCTTGTGCTTAGCGCTACTGTTGGGAGGGATATTAATCAAAGTGTTTTTTTTGTTGATGCATTATGAGAGGAACATAAACCAGACACCATCTTATGTTGCCGCCTATTCACATAAACTGCATTGGTAAAAACTGCATTGAAGTTATACCATCTTTATTATACTAAGTATCATACTCCTGCCTCTTAAAAATGAATGAACATTTTTCTTCTTAATATTTGAAACATAAGCTCACACCTATGTTATTTTTTTAGGTTGTTTTTCTGGGTAATTGCACAGATTTATTTTTATTATTGTTATTATAAAGTTACGCTTTAATCATCAAAACCCTGGAAAGGAATACATGTGTGTGAGTAAGCATGTAAGCCACTAACTTATTTAGTTTCAATCAGTCTAAGTCTCCGCTACAATGTATACACATATTTTCTGTATTGCCTGGCAATGCATGAATAAATTTAAAAAGAGCATCAACACCGTTTAGCCAGGCATTGGCACTGTGTCATGTATGTTGTCACTATGGAGCACTGGACCGATAGATTTGGCCAGATTTGTGGCTCTGCAGTGTTATTTTGACATGGTGTTCGTTTTTACACATGTATTGTCTGGATTAGATCAATCCGCCTCTTTTCTCTTGAGTGGGCTCTGACTGCTTCGGAAGAGCAGACCAAAACACTACCTAACCCAACAGAGATTGTGATGAAAGTTCTTATTGGAAGCAGCTTTAGGCTATCTGACAGTGGGAATCGTGTAAGGATTTGGAAGTGTAATGCAATATCAAAACCGTGGCAATTATCCCCCTTTCCTTTTGTTTTACTGCATTTCAGTTTAACTGTACCTCTTTCGAAATGTGCATTTCAAGATTATGCGCTTAATATAAAGAGTCATGTTATAGTAAAATATTTTTGGGGTTATCAAGCAGACGTACTGCAAATCTGTGACAGCTTTTCTCTGAAATATTTTTGGTTGTTAGTTTCTTTGGCCTACACTTTCAGTGGAGGCATGTGAAGCTTGTGTGTGGGCAGTCTGGTTTCACGGTACTTGTTCTCACACAGAGTAGTTCAAGTCGAGTAGCGGAAATTTGTTCGCCTATGACCAAATCTGACTGGTTTTGTTAAAAGCTCCAGCAATATGTAATCTGTAGCTATTGTTTTTGCTATCCTTTCGTTGTCAAATATTAGTTTCAAAGGGTATTTGAGAAAATTGCTTGATAGATGACGGTTCCAAATGTCCTTGAAGCCTCCCTGGTTATATTCCCACATGTCCTTACAATGCTGTCTGCATCCCAGATGTAATACTACAGTAAAGTGAATTCTAACTATTGTATTTATATATTTGCCTTTTTACAGGAGTTGAAGCTGCCCTTCACATTCATGAGCGGTCACATCCATGAGCTGCGTATCCACGTTCCCTGGACCAAGCTGGGCTCGGAGCCTGTAGTCATTACCATCAACACGATGGAGTGCATCCTCAAGCTGAGGGATGGGGCCCAGGTTAGTATGACAAACACGTTATCCTTTATTCCAATAAAGGGCCAAAATGGGGCTGGACAGACCTTTTTGTTTGCTATTTGGTATTGTTTTTGCATCGCCTACCTGCAAGTAATCAATATTTTATTGTTTGAGTATTGATACATTGTTTACAGAACAGAAAAAAGTATTACGTTTGAATACCATACGTTGTTTTTGAAACAAAAAACAAGTATTGTAAGCATTTTTAACTAAGATACTTTTTGTCATATTTGAATACCATACATATATATATAAAATAAATAAAAGTCATCAAAAATTCCTTTTTCCGTAGTTTTGTGTCCCACCAGATAATCTTAATCATACGAATCCCAGGTGTGCTGATGAGTCTTGCTCGATCATGAATTGCAATCTTTTTTAGATTGACATAGTTAATGCCCCTAAATATTATACAACGGTCAGGTGTTTTTATTATTGTATTTTGATTAATTGTAGTTATTTCAATTTATATGTGTTTTACGAAAGTAATATTTCTCAGATAGTTTTTTGCAGAGGAGCCTGGTTCCGTCTTTGCCACCCATGCAGTTTGCATAATTGAAAGTGTTCTGCGCTAGGCCTTTATGGGAACGTTGGGAGTTTCAGGGCCAGATGTCCCAGAAGAAACACATTTCTAGGGAAGTCAATTACGGCTAATTATATAGACTGCGGCAAAAAAGATTTGTAACACATGAGCCTGAGCTGCCCAGAACTAATGGTAAATATCATACTATGCAGGTGGCTACTGCTCATGCGATTAGGTTTCAGTTGGATGGAAATTGAGACTTGTTATTTATGCTTCATACACAGCTTCAGGTCAGGTATCAGTACCGGTACTGGTGTAATGCATCAAGTCTCAAAACAACTATTTGTTACAGATGTTTTGTAAAAGACCTCCAGTCAAGGGAAGATTTTGGGGCAATTGCAAAGGACGTTTGGACAAATTATTCCGTGGTATGCACACCCGTGAGACATAATTTGGAGTAAAGCCAGACTTGGAGCGCAAGTCCTTCTCGCATGTGGAATTTAAATGAGCCGCTACACTTCAGTCCTTGAGTGGGCGGCAGGAGGTTGACTGCTGTGTTCCTTAGCCAAAAAGGCTCCCAACTTTACTTCTATGCTTTAAATGCGTTTAGTTTGGGGACTTTAGTTTACTTTGTTACACTTTTGACATCCTAAAATCTGTCATGTCATCTCCGCGGTGGCACTTTATCACGTTGGTCAGCAGAGAGAATTCCCTCAAAAATTTGTTGGCCTTTGTCACATTAGACTCAGAAACCAGATTGTGTTTCTCTGCAGGTTAGATATCCTGTACATGTGCACGTCAGGCCCTGGTCCAGTTTTAATCAGATTCCAGCAGGGTTGCAGGGAGTTTGGCATGGGTGTATGCAAAAACCCAGGCCATGACAGTTCTCCCTGAAGCCCTCAAGTAATTTGGGTGACGGCCCACAGGATTTGAAAAAAATCTGATCTGTGTATGGAAAATGGTAAATTTCAGTTTCAGTAGATTACTGGTGTTTCTTTTGTTTAGTAGAGACAGAAACTTTGTGGTGGGCCTCACGCAGCCAAAGTGTGGAAATGATAAATGATATCATTAATATGGTTTGTTTTCCTAATTACTGTTAAAGCCCGAGTGCTAGCCTGGGAAAACATCCCTGCGTCTTTTGAAGTTCATTAGGGGGTTCGGAATTATTAGGAGCGTTTTTTTTAATGTCCGTGCTTCCTCTTGGGAGGAGCTGGGTAATATTAGTGAAATTCAGATTTGCTCAATGGGGCCCATCTGCAAAGCACCAAGAGCAGCTCACAATTATAGCTTCCAGCAAATGTGGAAATTTCGGCGTGTAGCTGCAGTGGGAGATTACAGCTCCTGCTGACACTGTAATTGCTTCAAATCAGCTATAATGAGGACTTTTAGCAAACAAAGTAGAATAGTAAAAAACATGTCATCTTGTTTCTGACATTCAATTTTAAAAACTGGAGGCCATTTATAAACAAAACCCATTAGGTTTCACGTAAGCCTTTTTATGTTCTAAAGTGCGATCCAATTACTACTACTACTTGAACATAGTAGCTCCGAGATTTATTGTACAAGTATCTTCTATTTTCTTAAGTCAAAAAACGTAAATCCTTGTAGTTCTTGTATGACTCAAATAATGAGTGTAGACATCTCCACGTGAAATTAGACCAAGCCCTGGTCTATGCTTAAGCGCTCATTGTATGTAACAGGAGATTGGTCATGGAGATGAAAGGGTTTTTCTAGCAGTCAACTTTAACTTCTTTCCTCTTGTGCAAAGACACACTGAATGTTGCCCCTCATGCATTACTTGATATGAATTAACTATTTAATCTGAGGCCGTTCAAAATTAAACATTTTAAAATGTCAAGAGTGACACAGGATAATAATAAAATTATTTGTGGCTAGTTGTAGGAGTCTCTAGGAGAAGTGAGCAAGATTGAACTCGGGCGTTAATGAGACCCCTAACTGCTACCATTGGAATAATGTTGCAAAATGAAGAGCATATTTCTGTTCTTCTTTTTGACATTAATGCATACTGCCTGTCTGATCTCTCATTGGATGTCCGCTCACCATCTGAAAATCCACCCCGACAAGACTGAACTACTTCTCTTTTCCGGGAAAAGACTCTCCGACCCAGGACTTGACTGTCAACTCTGTGCTAACGCCCACTTTGACTGCTAGGAACCTCGGCATCACACTCGACAGCCAACTTTCCCTGACTCCCAACATCACTGCAACCACACAATTCTGTAGATACAGGCTCTACAACATCAGGAGACTACGTCCCCTTCTCACTCAGAAGGCGGCGCAGGTACTGATTCAGGCTCTTGTCATCTCCCGCCTGGACTACTGGTACTCCCTCCTGGCAGGTCTCCCCGCTACCGCCATTCGACCTCTGCAGCTCATCTGGAATGCAGCAGCTCGACTGGTCTTTAACCTTCCAAAATTATCCCACACTACTCCACTCCTCCGCTCTCTTCACTGGTTACCAGTGGCCGCCCGCATCCAGTTCAAAACATTGGTGCTCACGTACCATGCTGTGAATGGATCGGGTCCAGCTTACATCCGGGACATGGTCAAATCCTACATCCCAACCCGCACTCTCCGCTCTGCATCTGCAAGACTGCTCGTCCCTCCCTCACTGAGAGCAAAACACTCGACTAGATCACGACTCTGTCCTTGCTCCGAAATGGTGGAACGAGCTCTCTGAAGACATCAGGACCGCAGAGAGCCTTCACATCTTCCGCCGCAAACTAAAGACACACCTCTTCTGACTACCTAGACTAAAAGACTAACAAAACGTAGCTCTTAAATTGTACTTGTAACGTCACAATCTATAGCAAATTGTAAATTGCCTTATTTGAGGAAATTGCACTTTCTTGTTTCTTGTTCTTCTGAGTTTGTATCCCTATGGTTGAATGCACTTATTGTAGGTCGCTTTGGATAAAAGCATCAGCTAAAGGACATGTAATAACTGCTTCAGATGCTGAAAATGAGGTGTGATCATCAGCGGCAGGGAGGTACTGTGCTGGACAGCAGTTCCAGTGCATTGTAACACTTTCAGATACTCTTGGGGCTTGGGTTTACAGAGGAGAGCTTTTCTGGTTTTGGCTCAGCTGGCTGCTTTATCTCGGAGCTTTATGGCTGCTGAGTGCATTTGCCACTGATGTGGAAGTTCTGATTGATGCATTGCCTCGAGATGATTTGGGTAGGTGCCTCAGAGACTTGATGGTTTGTCATATGGTCCAAGTAGTCCCTTTCTTCTGTTAGATTCCTTCCAAGCTATTTTTAGGGCTTTACACCACCAGACCTCATTGCTCCTAAATAATGGGTATAACATCGGATTTAGGGGATCCCTGTCAAAGAAACCTCCACGATATGGCTGGGTAACATATATCAAGGCTAGATATCTCCTTAGATTTTGAATATAGTAAGATGGCCTGGTTGTTATCATTTCTGGGCTTTAGAAGCTGCACTACAGCAAAGTGATGTTATTTTCTGAACTTATGAGACTGCTCTAGTTTTATTTTACTATTTTCCTTTACCTAATTGGTCATTAATTCAAATGCTGGTCTATCCATTACTGCTGATTATTTATCAAAAAGCTGACTTTATAAATATTTTGTTAAAGCACCAATGGTCAACATAATATTGTCTCTGTCAATATGGAGGCATTTAGTAAAAAATAGTGTGATATATGATTTTCTCCATATCGCCCAACTCTTTCCCAGGTTGTGAATTACTACGTTGGTTTCCGAAATTAAACACAAAATCTATAGATGTAATACACATGCAACTTTTTAATCATAAACAAACAATGTTTAAAACAGTGTGACCTGGTTGCTGAGTTAAAGTTGAGGCCACATGGATGTCCGGTTTGTTTCCGGGTTCTGTGTTGCGTTTGTTGTGTTCTGTTGTACTTATGCTTTACTTCATAATGGGTTAAATTGCAACATGTCCCCTTCTTTGACAGCGTGAACGTTCTAAGACACAATAAAAAACACAAGGACTTTTTAAGATGTCACATCAAGTAAAATGGTAAACATCAAGTGTCCTCTGTCACTTTGTTCCATGCAGCTCTTCTTCCACAAGTCAGCAAACACAAAGGAACAAGTAAGACAAACATCCCTGTGGAAGTTTGCAATCAGATAGCACAAACTGGATAATCTCCGACCCTATGCCATCCGGAAATCTTTCCTTTGATTCTCCGGCTCGCAGGGAGCCAATGGCTTACAGAGATTGCACCATAAATCCATGTGATCATCAGCTCAGAGGGGCCTCGTCTTCAGGACTGAGGAGGCAGAGGGCGCAGACACTTGAATCCAACCGCTGTAGTGGTAACAACCCATCTCTTAATGTAAATAATAAAAATGTGCAGTCATTTTGGCCTGCTGTTGATTCCTTAGGCAGTTTGGCAGCCAGAGTGAGTGTTTTGATGAGAGACAAAGACAACTATAAAGAGACCGAGTGG